CTATCTTCAATCTATCTGTCGCTGGCTTTATTTGCCGGGCTTATATATTAAAAAAGAGGGCGCCTGGCAAGCACTCAGACATTCGCGTGGTTCCTAGATATGGCATGATCCTTCTAGAAATCCAGCGCGCATGCTCCCAGCGTCGCGTGACTTCCGCTGTCGTAACATTACCAACATGCGCACACACCAACCAATAAAATTTACACATAACTCTCTCTCAAATACAGATGTAGTAACTCATTATGGTTTGTTCTCTTCAAATACATAGTAAAACTTACTATATGATTAAAGATGTTTAAACCAGTTCTATACTTACTTCTTTAATGTGAAGAAAGTCTTTAACATCAAAAGATATTGCACATCCATGCACAGGGCTATCATCATCCAGTGTTCCATCATAAGCAACATTAGTACGGACAGCAAATGTTACCGGTTTTGTCTGTGGAGAAAAAGTAAAATTTCGTAATAAATTTTTGATGTTTTGTTCTCTTCCATAACTTTGCACTAAATAGCAATATAACTATCTATATGATAATCAAATTAAAAAGCACTCATAATTTCCACATTTTGTCAGAAACAATATTTAAAATAAGAAACCATTTAAATAAAAAGCTTCTTTTTCTAAATGTAAAATAGTTTCTGAGGTACTTACAAAAATAAAACAAAACCTTAACCTCAAATATATTTTTACTTAAATCAAATAGTTGCCTCCAGAACTGGTGTGGATAGTTCATTGCATAAAAGTCTCTCAAATTTCAATATTAAATACTAATTTATTCACGTGATCATATTGTTACGACAGCGGAAGTCACGTGACGCTGCTGGCGCATTGGCGCTAGTGGCGTGTGCGAGGAGTTTCTGGAATGATTATGAATTTCCTAGTGCATTCGAAACGCCATCTTCTTTAGTATATAAGCCTGGCAGAGAAAGCCTGCGGAGAATGAATGAAGAGAGTTCTGGGTAATTTACGATTCTGTTTCGAGGAAATGTGTGTTTACGAGATTGTGAATAACTGTGATTTATAGCATGTATTATAAAATTTGTTCAGTTTATAGTAACGAGAAAGTACTGACAGTGGAGTTAACATGTACTAAAGTTTGTATCCAGAAAGAATAAACTGGTTTAATCAATAAACTGGTCTCGGAAAGGATTTATACCGGAAATTATCAAACAAGCAGATACGTAACAATATTGCTGTTGTAATTTGTAAATGACTTTGCAATATTTCTACTTTAAATCAATAAAGAAAAGTTTTGAGCTTCCTCTATGAATTAAAATAACACTTAATTTATATAGCCAGCTATAACTCGTTGTATAATCCTTTAGAATAAAAAAAATTACCTCTACCTTTTCAAGCTTTTTAAGAGCTTGTTTCTCTGTCTCCCTGTGGGACAGAAAAGAGGAAGAAAAAAAAAGTGGAAACCAGACGTGGCAAATCAAACTAAGACTTAGCAGATTTGATGGCAGAAATACAAGAACAGTAAAAGAAACAACAAGATAGATTACAGTAGTTGTTGGAGGAAAAATAAAAGAAACAACAAGAGAGATTACAGCAGTTGTTGGAGGAAAAAAATGAAACAAAAAGAGAGATTACAGCAGTTGTTGGAGGAAAAAGAAAAGAAATAAGAAGAGATATTACAGCAGTTG